TCCATATCAAGGGCTCTGAGAAGTCCTGCATTAAAGAAGCTTGTGTAATCATTAACTGATTTGACCTCATAACTCATTGTTCACAGAGTACCTTTTAACATCCTGAAGATTCATCCCCCAAACATAACTGCATCCATTTCTTGAAATACACTTGGTTCTGCCTTGCCTATTATGGGCAGAACAAGTCCCCAGGCATGCCTGAAATAGAAGCCTCTGTCCTTGCCCATGTCCTCATGCTCTTTTTTAAATTTTTTTTTCTTTGTCACCTTTTACTTCTGTTGTGCACATTCTTTGACTTTTACCATCTTCCAGGTCTACTTCATCCTGCTTCATGGCACTTGCAATTGGCAGCCTTACACATAGAGATCAAAAATCACCTGACTGTCTGAGACAGCTTCCACTACAATTGGCCACTGAATCTGTCAAATATACCTGCTTGCCCACCTTCATGGAGGTGATTTATGATGGATCTTCTTCATCTTCAGTACTACCTTTCACAGTAAATCCAGTTCTATGATAAATATTTCTCTCTTTTTAATGGAAACTATATATCCATACAGAAAACACTACTGCCACCTAAAATACTTGCATTGCTATTCCCCCAGCATCAGCGCTTGTTCTTTCCCACTCTCACTTTACTCTTTATATCTCCACCCTGCACATGTGTGTAGACCCTCCAACCTCCATTTGATGGCTTTCTCCCTTATGATGGATAATCTCTACCCCAAAATGCATTCTTCAAACATTCCAAAGCATGACTGCCATTCATATGCTCTCAAAGGTTCGAACAGTTACAGTCCTGTGAAAGCTTCTAGAAGTATGACTTTATTTCTATAGGTTGTTGTTCTTCCTCACCTCCTCTGGTCACAGGGAATCCTCAACAAGGTTTAGTCTATTCTCCACTCTACTGCTATCTCTGCCTTCTCTCCAACTTCTGCAGAGTTCTCTCCAGATATAACTGCATCCATTTATTCATTGACACAACCCCCAATCCCCACATGGGCTGTAGGTTTCTCTTCTACCTGCACTATTTAGGATGGCCTGGAAACTGAAAACTAGTCAGCCAGGTCCCTGCTCCAACAAAATCTTGCTTTCCAGGTGAGTGGTGGTGGTCAAGGCATTGTAGTAGCTACAGTGCTTGAGATCTTAGGACAGGAACTTCCAAACTGAGTCCCCCCAGCCTTAGTACCACATAATACATTAGTCAATGTTCTCTGAAAAATATATGTGTGTGTGTGTGTGTGCACACGCTTTAACACACATTATGAATTTTGAGGAAGAGGCTGTATTTAACAGTTTTAATAGTTTTCTCTGAATTTCTTGATCTGCAAACCATCTTTTCACAGAACCTTTGCTAGAGACCCAATCATTCCTCTGATGCTATTTGGGAAATGCTGGCTCCAGGGTAACCTTAGCCCCCTCAATCCTGCTAAGCACTGAGACCAGACTGGAGTCCTTTAAAAGTACATCTGGTTAGGTAGAAAACGGATCTATGTGATTTCCCTTAGCTCTTCCTTTTGAATGATAGATAAGTTCAGGCTTCAACCAACACTGTTATTTACTTTTCCATAGGTGCATGTTGTGTAATTTATCATCTAGAGCCCTAATGACGTCCAAGTCTATATTTCTAGCCCAGACTTCTCCCCTGAGCTCCAAACCCCATCCATCCTACTGTCTGCTGGATGACCACCTATTGAAGATCTTTAACAGAATGTCCTGCAAGCACTTCCAGTACATTTCATCCGATATAGAAGTAATTTCTGCCCTCATAAAACACATCTCTGCATTCCCAAAGGTCCCTATACTTCCCTCCAACCAGATACGGGGAGATGTTCTAAACTCTACCATCACAGCCAAGTTATTATTCCTCTCAATTCTATCTCCTAAGAAGGGCTTCTCTGTCCTCAACTGCCATTGTCTAATTTGGGGTACTCGTTATTGCAGTTTTCTGTCTTCTATCTTAGGTCGGGCTTTCTGGGAAGCAAACTTTAAGTTTCTGAGATTTCCGTGGGAAGGTTGTTGGAGAGTGCATGCGAGAGAGATTAATACCTTTGTGAGGAGTGGAGAAAGTAAGTTGAACTGCACTGTAGTTGCAAGAATAACTTCAACCAATCCTCCAGGGTGCTCTGGAACTGTATGACCCTTACGACTTATCCAAACTTGATGTAAGGGATTGAGGTGAGGGGACCTTAAAGTAACAAATTCCACTCTCCTTGACCACCACCACTCTCCCTGCCATCTCCTACTGCTCCCACCTGCCACTGGATGTGAGAAGCACCCATCTCAACCCAGGGATCTCAGCTGAGATCTCAGCTGAGAGTCACCAGCCTTCAAAGGAAGCAGAGTAGAGTAGGACATCATTCACCACAAAGTCTTGCTGCTTTCCAGGTTGTCCCCCACAACACCACCAGAAGGGTTTTCTGATCCCAAACTTAATCATATTACCTCCTTTCAGTAACTCCTCCTTCCCCACAAGATGATTCAAATATGATCTGTCTGATGGAAGTTTATCTCCCTTGGCTCTTCCCCTCACATGCACACTTCAGCCACAAATACCATGATGGTGCTCTATCTCAGTCCCTTACCAGTGCTGCTCCTCAGCTGGGAAGGATACCCATTTCTCTTACCAGCAGACATCCATTTAGCCTTTAGGGCTCATCTTAGTAACTTCTCTGAAATGCCTTTCTTATTAACCTCAAAGAGAGGTAATAATATGCTTGCAATTATTTGCTTACATGACCACTAGACAGATCTTCTTATGAGCTGAGCCTGGATTATATTCATAGAGTGTGGATGAATGAATTAGTCAGCCATGGTCATCATGTACCAGTCTCCTCCTACTGGGGTTAACTCAAACTAACTCGAGTTGACTTTAATCTACTCATTTTTTTTTCAAGGACTTAATTTGGTTGCTCCTTGAAAGCTGCAGGCCCCAGAAGGAAGAACTCTATTTAGGGAATCTTACTTCTGAAGCTCTTTCTCTAGTATTTACTAATGATTGGACCAATGGTCTTTTAAGTGGGATGAATGCATTCCAGAGCCTAGGCAAGCTGATGTATCTGGAGAAGAGAATTCCTATGTCTATTCGTGTCTGTGTTACCCCTTTTAAAATTCCTACATTTTATGTATTCCTGTATTTTATTATGTGCATAATATAGTAGTATAGAAACACATGTCTAATTTATAAATAACATAAGGGAGTCTATACTCAAAAAAAAAATTTTAGGTGTTTGGTATGGAACTCAAGGCATCATATACTTTAAGCATGTCTTCACTGAGCTACACCCTTGGCCTTGTGAACATTTTTTTAAAACTAAATAACACATTGTTTTTATTTAAAAAAAATTGGAGATCTTTTGATTGGACTTCAAAGATTGGAGGCTTCTTCAGCTTTCACCTACTAGCACATCAGCTGATCTCTTGCAGAGCTAATTTGTATGGCAGGTACCTAGGTTGTAGAGGAACTTGGAAATCTGGGATCTGGAATAACTAGGAATGAAAGGTAGAGGCTTAGACAGAGGAGCAAGCCATTTAGAGAAAGCACAGAGCCCGAATCTAGCCAAAGCTGGTGAAACAACTAGCCAGGGACTGAGAACCCACAGCACACAGAGAGTGAGATGAAAAGGGAAGCAGCCGCAGACAAGGATGCCAACTAGAGGTACAAGGTGTGAGAGTGGCAGTCCTGACCCCCCAGGGAGGTCTACATGCTCTACTGCTTCTAGTGGTTGGAGAGAGGGGTGTAGCCAGCCAGTGTGAAGATGGCAGTGGCTGTTCCAGAGCGCCTATGTAGGGGCCCAAAAGGCAACAGTCTGATAGGAGTCAGGGCACAGGAGGCTTGTTTTCAAGCTGTATCAACACGAGTAGAGCACAGTTTCTACTGGGGTGTATGGTTAGGGATTGATTGATAATGGAGATGGGGAGGGGGATGGATGTTGTGAGTAATGTAGCCCTTAGTGTCCTTTGGCATGAGGAAATCAGTGAGTCACATTAGGCTGGAAAGATGAAAAAGATGCTGGTCTAGCACCAACCTGTGGGGGGCCCAAGGGCCACATTGGAATGGTGTACTGGAATAGCTCTAGCATCAAAGAAGCAGCTTCATGATACAGGACCAGAAAGGCAGGCACAAGGACTGGGTCTCTCAATGGGAAACCAGGTAAGGGAGGAGGGGACTCCAAGAGCAAGACTTATACAAGAAGCCAAATGGATACAGAGAAACCCCCAAATGAAAATGGCTAGAGTTTTCTTTTCTTTTCTTTCCCTTCCCTTCCCTTCCCTTTTCTTTTCTTTCCTTTCTCAATTCTGGGTAATCAAATCTAGAATCTCATCAAACTCAGAATCTCATCTGTGCTAGGCAAACTACCAACTGAGCCACAACCTTTGCCCCAAAATCTTATGTGCAGAGTTTTCTGGAACAGAAGAAAGATCAGCAGGGAAACAAATGCAATTCGTTTTTATTCCTTTAGACTCTCAGTTGGACTGTTGCTCTTCTACCAAAAGCAGACTATAAACCTCTAAGGTCTACCTAAACTCAGTTCTTGCTGATAATACCTTGCATTAGTGAAGCACTTCAGTTACCGTGAACTTTTATATGTTATTTCATAGTATAACCCGCAAGGTAATTATTCTTATATCCACTCTGCAGAGGGAAAAATTATAGTTTAAAGTGATTAGTTCATTTATTAAGAGGTTTTTACTCTACAATGAGGAATCTGAGGCCCAGATGGAATTACCTGATATACATAAGTCAAAAAGCAGATACCCATCAAAGATGGAACCCATGCCTAAGATCTTAGATGCTAGAGCTATTCCAGTACACCTTACCTGTGTCCCAGTTCTCTGTTCTTTTCCTATACTTTCCTTTGACCCCTCTGTGGCATTTCAATCGGATTTCAGCAGAGAGAAAGCAGGCCATCAGGAATGGCTAAAAAAAATTATTGGCCCAGTCCTTCTATTCCTGATCCCCCAGGTAATTTGTTCTAACATCTTCTGTTTCTTTGCAGCATGCAAAAGGAAAGAGCAAGAACATGGGAAAGATAGAGGCAACACACCCAAAAAGCCCAGGTTGGTCTTCACAGATGTCCAGCGTCGAACTCTACATGCAATATTCAAGGAAAATAAGCGTCCATCCAAAGAATTGCAAATCACCATTTCCCAGCAGCTGGGGTTGGAGCTGAGCACGGTCAGCAACTTCTTCATGAACGCAAGGAGGAGGAGTCTGGACAAGTGGCAGGACGAGGGCAGCTCCAATTCAGGCAACTCATCTTCTTCATCAAGCACTTGTACCAAAGCATGAAGAAAGAACCACAAACTAAAACCTCGGTGGAAAAGCTTTAAATAAAAAACAAAACAAAAAAATTTTTAAAGACCAGGACCTCAAGATAGCAGGTTTATACTTAGAAATATTTGAAGAAAAAAAAGTGATATTTATAGTCCAAAGAAACCAAAGACTTAGCTCACCTGCATTCTGACTTTGTTCGGAGACACACACTTCAGCAGGGCGACGACTCGGCAAGAAGTTATGAGTGGGAAAACACTGGATCTCACACCTTCAATCCCTGATCATTCTCGCTGTGCTTGGCTATTTAGTGGTTTGGAGCATAGTGATTTTGAGCCATTGTGTGGACAGTTTTAAGATCGTTATCTGTTCCACTGTACCATGAAGGTGTATGGTGTCTCAGTACTGTGTGTGGGTACACCCGCATGTACACACACACATACACACACATACACACACACACACACACACACACACACACCACGTACACCACCAGTGGTTAAAAACTTAGGCAGGGCTGGTCTTCAGGAAGAGTTGTGCTGTAGGAGTGCAACCAATATGGTGTGGGGTTGTCTGAGTTCATTGGATTAAGAGTGTGATTTTGCTCGTCTAGCCCAGTGTTTGAACCTGCCAGGCTCACAACCTAAATGCAGATTCAAACCCAGCAAGGAAAATTTGAATGACACCTAAACCAGTGCATTCTCTTTGTTTGTTAAGGAATGTTCAGATATTTTTTAAGAAATGAAACAAGAGTCCATCCATTTAAAAAAAAAAATCACCTAGGTACCAAAGAACACACTTGATATTATAGTGCAGGTATTTTATTGCAATGATTTTAATAACCAAAGCTATTTTTACACAAGATACTATGTAAAGTTATACGTATGAACTGATCTCGCTGGAATACACATGCCACATAGATCCACAGCTATTATTTATGACTCTTGAAGCATTTGAAATATGAGTTTTCAGAAATGGCAAGAAAGAATGTAGCTTCAGGGAAGCAATTAATATCATGGCAGAGAGGTCGATGCAGTACACATGTACATCCAGGTGGGACACTCCTCTCCAGGATTCATAAATGTCACTTACATAGAAAAATGGACACAATACCATAATCTGTACATAGCTGAGAAAACTCAAGGATCCTTCTAAAATAGGACCCCATTTGCACCACTAGAAAACTAAGTTTAACAAGGGCAACTAAATTAGAAACTTTATTCAAAGTGGCTAAAGTGAACATGCCAAAGTGACGAGTTTTAGTAAAAGAACTTAGATTAATTTGACTTCAATTTGCTTAATGCATTTGGTACCAAATATCTTTAAATTTTTTTACAAACATAAATAAGGTGAGCAGACTAACATTATTATTAAAATTAATGTCTAAGAATTTGTAATCATCCTAAAAAATAATCATGGTGATTTTATTGCCAATCTCAGACACTTTATGACTTGGACATCTATAAGACAGTATGTGCCACCGAGAAGTGTTGGAATTGGTGGAACTGCATAGAGAAAGCCAGAATTCTAATGGAACACAAGATTTTTGGTTCTATTAGTATTATGCAACTTATTTCACTAAGTATAGCCTTCAAAGCATCCTACATTCTTTCTTGCTACTGCATGAAATTGGAAATTTTATAACATAGATTCCAGAGGCAGATTAAAAATTAGGCCTGAGCTTCCAAATACACAATTTTAAATTTCTGTTTCTTCAAATCACTCAATTGAGGCCATGTAAGTCAAGGCAAAAATAATAAGATAATAATGTTGTACTAGTGGTACCCTTGTGAATCACTTGATTCCTAGAAACTTCTCTTGAATCATAACTTATATAAATAGATGTCTGTACTATCATTAGGTAAAGAATTGGATACTCTTAGTTAATTACCACATCTATCTAGAAATATAAAACTAAAAATTATCATCCTAACAATGAGTTGCTTATTGAGATTCACTTCAAATGCTGAAGAAAAAAAAAATAAATTATCTTGACACAAAACCTAATTCCTTAGGATCAAATCTCAGCATCTTATCTGTGTTTAAAACAGTCAGGCACCTGGAGGGCTGAAGCTAAACCAACAGGCCATCTGTCTATCTCTCCTGAAGTCTGCTGTAGACTGAGAAAAGGAAACTACATGTACTTCTCCTTTAATGGAATACTACATTTGCCTTGACATATTTTGTCTTAGTATTTTTTTTTAATTTCATCCAAAGTTTCAGCTTAAAATTTTCCCTTCTAAAAATGGCACAATTATAGTTCAGCTGTTGAGAGACTATTTAAATGGCCACCCTTCAAGATTTACTAAAAGTATAATCTTATCAAGGACATAAACAAAAAGGAAAAAACATGAATAGCCTTTTCTCTCTTCAGGAATGGAGGGAGATGGGGGTACAGCTATATAATGTATTTATAATTTAGGAGGGAGGAAAGCCTTATTTGTTTAAAGCATGAGAATTTAAAATGCAGGGAAATTCAAACTGTGTCTACACACAATCTTACCAAATTTTAGTACTCCAGGAAAAAGAAAAAAAAAAACTGAATTCAGACAACCATGTTGGTCTTTTTCTTTTTTACTGTACTACCCTCAAAATTAATCCAACTGCATTTTGCATTTCAACCAATTATTTTGGTGCTGTGTAGACACAGTCTCAAAGAATATCACTACACATTAAATATCCAACCACAATTTTTTTTTTAAAAAAAATAACCAGTTATCTTACTTGCTGACACCAAAGATGATTTTCATACCAGCATTGAATTTGCACCCATTATGCAATTTCAGGGCCTAGAGATATATTTTCTCATAAACAGATGCACAAATCAGAGCCTGAAAAGCAATTTTTTTTTTACTTAACTACTAAAGCATACACACAACCTTTTCTTTTTAGAAATCATAATGAACAAGCAGCTCCTCACAAGCAATACACTTACCCCATCATGTATGACTGATTCTTTATGTGTTTCTGAACTGGCAGGTAGTAAAAAATGCTTCCATTCCTCCTTAGTGTAGCATTAATTTATGGCTCCTGTTTTTGAACCTACCACATTTAACAAAGCAGGTCACGTGCCATTTGTTCACTTTTCATTTTCTCAATCCTTTAGCAAAAATTCAACTGAAAAAGATATCTTGCTCTTTCATTTGTATGTTTATAAATAACAAAACTGCACTTCAAATGATCCTTTTTTTTTTTTTTGGTAGAATGGAAGTTAGTCTGTTTTTTGTTTTTGGACATACATCATTCAGGTTCTCTCATAATTGGAAGCTTTCCTAAAAGAGGGCCAAGAGGTATGAAGTCTGGACAACACAAAAACCCAGACTACAGTAAATGTTCAGGTTAGAGAGTTCTGGATGTCAGGAACTCAGTAGTTCAATCCCTGATACAGCTGGAATAGACCCCAAAGACCAAAGAAAATGTATGGGGAAGTCCAGAAGTTCTAACTGAACATGTCACTCATTGTGCCCCCAAAAAGTGTAATTAGTTTTCTAGGAAACTATAAAAGCACTATGCTACATTTGGACTCATTCCACTCCCATTGCTACCCCAGGTGAATAACCCATCTTTTTGCAGGTTAAATGCAAATTTTGCTATACCAAAGAGTCCTAGGACATTTTCACATGAGCTATAAAGACATTTTCCCCAAGAACTTCCTCCCTTCTTTGTACATAAAGGATGAAAACTATGCATCTAGCAAACAAAGAGAAAGCACTTCTCCCTTTTCTATCTAGTTGTTTAGGGTGCATTCAAATGCCAGAGGCTGTTTTGAGACACATTTGGCCTTCTGGATTATTATTGTGGTGTGGTTAGCTTTACAGTACATTTGGTAACTATTTCCTAAATAGTAAGGACAAAGAAGCAGAAGGTAAGAAATAGCTACTTCCACGTGTTAAAAAAAAGAAAAAAAAAAGAAAAAAAGAAAAAAAAAGTGTAAAGATCTACTATTTATAGTGTGAACCAAAGACGCTACCTCACTCAATTTCCATTGGTGATTTTAATCACATTGATGATACCAAAGAATACCAAAGATATTTTCATGCCGGCCTTGGTCTGCAGAGGGAATTCCGCCCCCACCCTTCCCCCACCTCCTCTCCCCTCCTCACTCTTCACTCAGTGTGTAAACTTGTCTTCATTCTTAATAATGATAAGGTAACGGTAACAACAACGTTAGGAAATACTACTCTTATTACTGCTAGTTCTTCTTGTAAATCTCTAGGCAAACATGTTGCAAACTTTGTAAACTCCTAGGATGAGTGCCTTGCTTGAACCAAAGTGTTAAACCGCTGTTAACCTCTCTCACCTTATACTCTTTGAATACCTCAGCCTCTTAGAAAGGCCACTAATGAAAAAAAAAAAAAGGAATAATTATTCACCGTGGTGCTTTTTCCGTGCAACCATGCAATGAAACTTTCTTTGATACCAAAGGATTACTTCCCCCCACCCCCAATTTCTTGCTGATAAACCAAAGCTCCTCCTTGTTCCCTCTCGAGGTCCTCTCCATTTCCCTGGGTCCCTTCACCAGGCAGGCCGTGCATCACTTTTACCAATTTCTCCAAATACCTCATAGTAATAAAGTTTTAGGGTTATGTTGTATAGAGAGTCTATGTGATAAGGCAGAACTTACTAGTTTGATAATTGTTAAGGTTACTTTAAAAAAAAACTTTATAATTCTTATTTATTTTGTAGTTTGTATGTTTGGGATGTTCCCTTCCCTTCCCCTTTGGTTTGGGGTTTATTTTCTTGGCAGAACTGCTCTGTTGCTCAAGGAAGACTTAATTTCTGGATATGTTCCCCAGGTGGGTTAAGGGTTGTGTAAAAATGCAAGAATGGAGTAAGAAATGGTTTTCATTTTGACAGTTACTTATGAAGGTTTTGTGTTTCGTAGAAAATTTGTTTCCACAGGGTAAAAACAAAACAAAAAAATATATATAAATATATATATAATCTCTTTTTTGTGAAACTGGTTCCTATTTTTCTCTATAATGTGCTGTGATTTTTTAATTTAATTACATTTTATATGAGCTTATTTAATCACTGCTTTAATTTATGACTGTGTAGTTTTAAAAATGTATATAGTAGAATCAAATGGCCAAAGCTTTCTGTTACAATCTTTTTGTTCTTGATGCTAAGATTAGCTGGAGGCAGGAGCTTCTCTTAACTGCAGGGTGTTATCTTTAGTTTTTCTTAGCAGGCACTTCCACACGTGCTGTGAACACTGCCAGGTCTGCCCTCAAAAACTTGTACATGCCAAAAAAAGTGTTTCAAGGTAGTCCTCTCTGTCATTTAGAAAGAAGAAAGACATTATTCATGTTCTTCCTTTAATTTATTAATTTTATTATTTTAAATTTATTTTTTGGAAAAAAATTACTTTGCATGTAAAATCTGAAAATCAAAAGAATTTAAGACTTTTTTTTTAAATGTTTCCAAACACCGACATTTGTGAGATACTTTTCTACTTTTTATTTTTTTTCAACATTCGAACAGGTATGAGAAGTAAAGAGAGTAAAAACAGAGACAAGCTAACTTGAATTTGGAAATCCTCTGTTTCCCTAAGTTTCTAAATTTCTTCCAGGCTGGGGCAGGCCTAGAGACATTTCTTTTTGCAAAGCTTAGAGCTTAACTAGAGTCATGCCCTTAAAAAGAAAGTCAAGCTGATCGATCCATCCTGGTGGGTCTGACAGCTCCTGGAAGAACCCAAACAATTGTTCAGCCTTGTTTTCTTCAAAAAAAATGTTTCAGAGTTGCATATTCCTGCCCCCAACCCCCAACCTTCCCACATATCCCTACCACAATTGGAAGACTTACCTTTGAATGTCAGGGTCCCTGAGAATGAATCCACCCCAGAGCTATTTGAGTTTGTCTCTTCTTACTCTTCATCTTCCCACTAGTTTTTACACACTAGAGCTGATCCCTGCCCAGGCCCCTGAACCCAGGCAGCCCACCCCCCACCCCTTATACTTTGTATTAGCACACGCAGAATTCTAAATGATGAAGGGCATCCTCAGAAGAGCCAGTGCCATTGTTTTGTTTCTTTTTGGTGAGATAAATTGCTTTGACTATGTCTCATAAACTCATAGATGTAAATATTTTCCCTTTTGACACAGAATTTTACCTTATTTTCTTTTGCAGGTGTGTTTGGGTGGGGAAAGAAAGGGAGGGCTTAGATTTGGGGTCAAAAGTTACATTTTCTTAGGAACACTTTTATACTCATTCTGTATTTTAATAGGGCAATAAATCTGCTCTGAATTGCAGGATCATTCAGTGCTCTGTTGGTAAGCATGGATGGATTACGTGTTTTTAATACAAATGCTGGTCAGTTAGTCATAGAAACTGGACAAAAATTGTTGAGGGAGTTGACATCAGCAATGAAGCATGGAGCAGAGTTGTATTTGCAAGGTCACATTTTCTGTTTTTTTGTGTGTTAGTCTTGATTTTTTGTGGTATGTTCTGCATTTATTACATAATCATTGTGGGCTCATTTTAGATTTGCCGTCTGAACCAAGTGACAAGTATTTTTTTAAAGAAAAATAAACTTTAAAACATTGTCTTCCACTTGCTTGGGTAGTTGTCTTCGTATCTCCCTGTGTTTATTGTCCCGTCTGACTCAGCCCATCTGTCACTCACTTAGACCTGTCCTTTTTCCCTTTCCTGTTTTTGGTACATCTTTGACCTTAGCTATTGTTCGAGTGTGACTCAGTTTCCCTGTTCAAGTTAGCTTGATGGTTTATTATGTAAGGAGGGTGCCTAAGACAATCATCAGGTAAAAATAATAAGATAAAAATTTAAAAAGATCAGTAGAGTAGAAAAATCTTCCAAGAGCAGAGGGAGTTCTTCCTTAGCAAGAAAAAAACAAAAAACAAACAACAACAAAAAAAAAAGACATAAGGAATTAAAAACCTAACCATGAGGGGCTTAGAAATTTTTTGATAAAAGACAAATGTTGCTGTCATTTTCTTTGTCAATTAGAAAACAGTGGTAGTTTCTACGTTGCATCTACATTTCAGATGAAATGATTATTGTACCCAGTTATGGTTGTTTGCTAATATTTTGTCTCTCTCTTACTCTTTGTCCAATGCTTCTGTATTTTTGTGTGTAGCAACAAGAAGTGTAATGCATTAGGCATTATTCTGGTTTGTTTATGAGTATCTCCTGTACTGCATTAAGGTTTCTTTCATTTTTTTAAAAGCTTCGCTACTGTTCTCACTTTATGCCGTGCAATATCATCTGCTGTGTTTGCTAAGCAAAAAAGAAAAAAAGAAAAAAAAAGCAAGCGATGATGCCATCATGCTTTCCAGTGTTAAAATGTTTCAGCATTTATGTAGTCACCAAAATGTAGTAAATAAAAATGTTGGATTTTCCAGCACTTTAAATTTAGACAATTCTTGCCTTCTTTTGTTTTTATTCCACCTGCCATCCTAAGCAAGGAGTTCATGGATTTCCTTTGGAAGGGTGAAGCTGAGAGGACAGCACCCTGGGAAACAAAAGCCAGTGCATTATCAAAGAAAGTTGCATTAAAGGGGAAAAAAGGTGTTCCCTACTGGAGCAAAAGGGTGTCTTTCAATAGAAGTGAGACACTGTTTCCAGAGGCTAGCCATTTCTAGCAACCCAATTATTATTGGAGACGATGGCCCTTACAAGTCCTCTCCAGCAAAACACCATGCATGGGGATGCACATGGTGGGAATGCACATGCACGGGGATGCACATGCGTGCCTGCTTGTGCGCTTTATGTCTCAGGAGCTAGGGGAGGCTGGGAAGTTAGGATCCTCTTTTATTTAGTTGTGACTAATCAAGAGGCCTATGAATGTGGATCCCTCAAATGGCCTTGTAGAGGTCTCCAGCTAAAAGTGTAAGTACTAGGACAGCAGAAAGGAAAAAGCAATTATCTTTCCGTAAGAAGTTTTTGGAGGATGAGACGTTGAACCTCACATTGAAAGAAGGAAGAGGCTCCTGGAGGTGTCCTGAACACTGTCCCCACAGTGGAACCAATTTGGGAAGATTTGGAAAGCCCTGCAGGGAAAACCTAAGGGGGCTAAGAGTACCTGGGGAAGATGTTTTAAATTAAGCCCAGGGATAAGGAAAAGCCAGAAGAAAAATGGAAACCTTCCCGAGGTGGTATTTCTCTTCTATTTCTTTAAAGCTCTCAAAATAGTCCTGGCTGCAGAGAACAAATAACTATCAATAACATTTAATTGATTTTTCTTCTTTTCAAAGCAGTTTTTCCAATTTCTACTCCACTGGTTAGGGTTATCTCTGTTTCTGTCATCTCTCCTAGTGACTACAGTCTTTTTTTTTTTTTTTTTTGAGTAGCTATAAACAAACATTTCAGCACTACACACTGATGCTTTGCACCTTCTTCTGTGATTTTTTTTTTTTTTTTTTTTGTCCTGGGGTGTGAACCCAGGTTTGCTCTACCACTGAGTTACATCCCCAGTTCTTTTAATTTTTTTTTATCCTAAGACAGGGTCTTGCTAAATTGCCAGGGCTGGCCTTGAACTTGCGGTCCTCCTGCCTCAGCCTGCCAAGTCACTGTGATTACAGGTAGTACCATGGCACCCAGCTGTGATTAATCTTGTCGCAGGATGCATTCTGAAGATATGCTCCTGAGCATGAGGGGGCTGAGGAAAGGGAGTGCAGTGCACCTTGCTCTCTACTCAGGTGTTGAAATCTTCACATCCATCTCTAGGAATGAATTTAGTCAAGTTGTCAAGGTCAGGACCACACCGTGTTTATGGGATCAGTCAGTTCCTTATAAAACACGAAGCAAGAGTATTTTTGCCTTTAGCTTCATCTTTGAGGGTTTCTGTTTGGGGAAAGGGTTAGGTCTTAAAAGTCACCTCTCCAAAACAACAAGAATTTCAGTCATACGATATGACATCTATGCTTTTTTTTTTCCCCCTTTGGGTTATCCAGCAGTGTGAGAAACACAGCTGCTTAAAAAATGACATCCTGGCAATAGGTTGGCAGAAAACAGATACCCCCATATTTTTAAATAATAGAAAACAGACATACAGATTCTCATGCATGTTTCAACTCAATTTCCTTGTCGTGCCTTCAGTTTGTTCCCGTCTCATGAAGATGGTTTGATTGTTGGAGGGAGGAAGACAGCCAGAAAGCCTTATGCTTCCACTGAGATATTTCTTTTCAGACAAATGACATGTGGCAACAAAATACTGGATTCCTGGAAAGCAAGAATGAAGAGAGATCATAGTTAGTTGAGAAGAGTTTCTAAAAGAGCCAGGAGATTCTCAGGGGAAACAAGTGAGAGAGTGGGGTGTGTAGCACAGGCTAATGGTAACGGTCACCAGATTTGTGACTCTGGGCAATCACTTGGCTGTCTCTCAGGTGTCCTTTATAAAAAGGACATAACAATTGTACTTATTTCATAAAATGACTGAAGAATGTGGTATTTGTGTTGTGCCTTATGGAGAGCAAGCATATAACACATAGCTATTATTTTTTAAGCTAATCAAAACATAACTAGGGGATGACAAAGTAAATTTAGTCATTTGAGCAACTTTCCTATTTTGTTACTAAAAGTAAAATCCAATGGCCACCAGCAACAGCATCACTGAGAGTTATGAGAAATGTAGAATCTCAGGCCCCAGCCCAGACCTACTAAATCAGAATCTGGGTTTTAACAAAATCCCCAGGTGACTAGTAAACATTAAACCTCTGCCAGCACATGCCAGCACAGCTCACTCCTTGCCGTCGATGGCATCTGGAGAAACATGCCTGGGTGGCAACTAGCAGTTGACTCCAAAATGCTGGATCCACCTGGGGAGTACCCAGTAATACAGGATTCATTAGCAGATTTGAATAAGCAGGCCTGAAACAGGGCATACAAATCTGCATTAAATGATTCTGATGTAACAAAACCTAAAAAAAGAGGCCAACACCATGAGCTCTTTGGAACAGTCTGGGTGAGATCTGGTTGGTTGGCTGTAACCTTCCCTCATCTCACATTGTGGCCTAATTCACCTTCCCCAGTGAAGGTCTTTCTCTGTCCCCAAACCCATGGCTCTCCACTGCACCCAGGATAAAATTCTTATCTTTTTTTTTTTTTTTTTCCTGTAATGAAGATTGAACCCAAGGGCCTTATGCAGGCTAAGCATGGGCTCTCCACTGAGCTACACTTCCAGCCCCAAAAATTCTTAATATTATAATGATCACCATGACTTGGGTCAGGGGCACTGTATTGTTAAAATCATATGCTGGCCGTGTACCTGTAATCCTGGCTCCTGGAAGACTGAGGCAGGAGGATTGAAAGTTTGAGGCTAGCCTGGGAAACAGTGTCTCAGAAAATTAGGACTGAGGATGTAGCTCAGTGGTCGAGTACCCCTGGGTTCAATCCTTAGTACTATAAACAAATAAACAAACAAACAAACAAACGATATGCTGGGTAAACCAGGACACACAGTCACATAGGCCCAGCATGCACTGGCCCCTTACTATCCTCTCTGACCTCACACCACTCTGCTCCAGGCTGTTCTCTGCACCTCAGTCTTCCTTATCCTTTGAAGGCCATTCCTTCTGCCTGCATTGTTGTCTGTCCCTTTACCCTGCAAAATTGCTCTCACCACCATGCCTCATCCTTCTTAAATGTTTTTTCCTCATGTCTGACCACTTGAGATAGTTGGTCCCCTCCCTGTGATTCTTCAGCACAGCTCCTGCCCCCTCATCTCCACCATGCTCCATCTGGCTTTGATTTTACACTTACACCTAAGCCTCATCTAGAAAGAATAGATTTTAAGACACTTTCAGAGCTGAAATGTCTGTGGACTTTCTTAGCAGCCTCACAGAGACACCATGATGAGTTAGTTCATTGTTAACTCAGAAAGGACAGGTGGCATTCTCTTCTCTGAGCGCAACTGCCCATTGCTTACAAGACAGTCACTTGTACACAACCAGAGCCCAAGGGCCTTTGCATCTTACTGCAGAAACTGATTCAGTACAGAAACAGACTTCTGTAACTATGGTAAAGTTACAAAAGGTTTCAAAAAATCTTTGAGCTGGACATTGTGGCCCACACCCGTAATCCTAGCAGCTCTGGAGACAGAGTCCCTAAAGCAATTTAGTGAGACCCTGTCTCAAAGATTAAAAAAAAAAAAAAAAAAAATTAAACAAATTAAAAAGGACTGGGGTTGTGTTTCAGTTCCTGGTACCAAAAAAAATTTTTTTTAAAAAGTTCTGAAGACCATTATCATGGCCCTGATTCCCTTACAGAGAGGGCACCTGGACCTCTGCTCTGTACTTTCATCCTGAGGGCAGGAGGAATGGCAGAGGAGCTACACAAAACCCCTCCTCCATAAAAGCAATAAGTGTACTGGCAAAAGAAATAATAATAATAAATCAAAAATAAACTTTTTCAAGCTCTGTTATTAGCCAAAGGTTTGCAACAATCAAAAATGGTTAATATTCTTCAGAATTTCAGTAAATACACTAGCTGTGTGACATTTTAACCTGAGCTCTTCCCATTTTCCCATCCCCAGTTCTGCCCTAGCCTTAAAAACCAAACAACTCAAGGATCAGAAAGAAAACCAACAGTCCGGTAGCTACTAGAGGAGATAGAAGGGGTTTGGACCTCTCCAAAGATCCCTTCTCAGATCATTGTCATTATTTGGACTCTCTGGAAGCTTCCTGGAAGCCCCCATTCACAAACTTTTTAAAAAATTTCACCTAACTCAGTTTTCTCAATTTTTATTTACTTATTTTTTTGGAGATGCCAGGAATTAAACTGAGGGGTGTTCTACCACTAGGCTTCATCCACAATCAGTTTTATTTTTTATTTTGAGACAGGATCTCACTAAGTTGCCCAGACTAGTCTCAAACTTGAGATCTTTTAACACCCTTTTTTAGCATCTTTGTCCCTAGGGCATTAGCCAACAAGAACCAGAGCCAATTGCCTGATCCCTACAACCCAGGAGTTGAAGAACCAGCCTGCACAACATACTAAAAGCCCATATAAAAAATAAATAAATAAAAACACAGGTGTTGTGGCACACCCCTGTAATCTAAGTGACCCAGAAGGTGGAGGCAGAAGGACCAATCACAAGTTTGAGGCCAGCCTTAACAATTTAGTGAGGCCCTAGGTAACTTAGTGAAATCCTGTCTCAAAATGAAATATTAAAACGGCTGGGGATGTGGCCCTGGGTTCAAACCCAGAATCTCCCCCCCCAAAAACAGAGACAAGAGTTTAATATTGCAGCTTCCCAATGCAGTGTGATAGTAAAACTAATCCAAAAAAAAAAAAAAAAAAAACTCAAA